AGCTCGTCATACCAGGTGCTCACCCAGGCCGTGGGGGTGAGTCAGAAGTGGAGGGTGAGGGAAGACCATCCTGGAAGCTGGGGAGGCCACCTTTGCCTTAAAGAAGTGTCTTTCTTTCTCCAGCCTCTGCAGCCTGAGTTTTTCTGCTCCAAAGAATTATTTGGAGGAAGGAGAAAGCATCGGGGACATGGAGACACCTCAGCCAGCATCTGGGTAAGTCTGAGAGAATCAATCTTAGGCAGGTTGATAGGAAGTCGAGGGGTCCCCAAGGAGAGAGGGGCCTGGAATTCTCAAGCAGGAAGAAAAGACAAACTTTTTTGTGCCCCTACATTCCTTAGGATTATATAACAATAATGTATCCTGCTTGAGGACAGTCTCTGGAAAAAACCTTCTGGCTAATCCTGTTATCTTAAGGTGTAAATTATGGGAGTAGGTCTAATGAGGTGTTTACAACCTCCAGACATTCTTTTGATTCAATGTAATAACTAATTAGTTCATAATTACATTGCTAACACTAGCAATGGGGTACTCTTTCTGCCCCCTTCTGATGCCTATGTCAGAAGCTTTCTCTGTCTCCTTTATACTTTAATAAAATTTATTACACAAAGCTCTGAGCTATCAAGGCTCATCTCTGGCCCCGGATTGAATTCTTCTTCTCCGGAGGCCAAGAATCCTGGCATCTTTTCTGAAGTTCAGCAACAGCCTTTCATCTTGGGGGCTCATCCGGGATTCTTCAGGACAAGGTTAGGATGCATGGAGCTCTAGTTCTTTGTTCTCCTAGCGAACACGTCTCCTGCTGTACTTCACTAACTCTACATTGTGCTCTTGTGAATGAATGACACGCCCCGCGCGAAGCAAGTGAGGAGCCCTTCTCTGCGGTTCCACGGCGACCTCATACGGCTTATGGCAGAAACCTGTGGGGGGTTTGTACCGATCTGCCAATGCCAAGAGGCACCCAATGTCTCCTTCGGGGACCGACCAGAAATGGGCAAAGCATGTGGACCGAACTCTCCTTTCTCGGTCAAACTTTTCGGTCTCTTTGACCATCTCCTAACTCCTTGGAATTAGAAGTACTAACAATCTGTCGGATCATAGACTTTCAAGGGACTTGTGATCTATGCTGTTACTGTGTACTATGACTTAGGTCTCAAACTTGGATTGGTAGTCAGGAAGCGCCTAGCCTTGCTAGGCATGGAAAGTTTGGAAGCTAGATGGAGCTCTGGCTCCAAGAGCATCTCTGAGGTTAAAGGTTACTCAGATTGGAACTGCAATGGGGTTTTTCCCTTTGGTAATACTGGCTCTTAGTGGACCAGAGGAGGCTCTTATAATGGTGTGGTGACGCTGGAAGGAACATCTCAGTTTTATGCTCGTATCGGTCTTATTGTGGTCAGAAATATACTCAGGGTCATGCACAGGCACTCAGGTGACAAGAATGTTTCCCCCAGCAGTCTTAGCTTGGGAGGCATGCCGGAAGGTCACTCTGATCGAACCCCGGGTGGCATCAGAGGTAAGCAAGGTTTTAATGGTGAGGAGCTGGACGTCAGTCAGGGATGCCATCAGGTCTACCCCTGGTGCATCTCCACCCTGTCTCGGTGGTAGAACCGGGAGGGCCAAGTATGTAGCCTGCGTCGGTAAGGGACAGACTAAGTCCGACAAGGAAAGAAAAGCTTTGATGTAAAGTCTGTCTACACCCCCATCTAGAGCAGGGAGGGACGCCTCCAGTAGAAAGAGTGCGCTGGTCGCTTTTTTTCTCTCTTATAGATGGGAGCTGACAATTCCAGCTTCACCCCTTTGAACTGTATCCTGAAAAACTGGGATAGGTTTGATCCCCAGGGCTTAAAGAAGACACAGCTGGTCTTCCTGTGTGATACTGCATGACCGCAGTGCCTACTGGAAGACAGTGAACGGTGGCCAGTTGGAGGGTCTCCTGTCCTAATGAGGGCTCAAACTGCCCCCAAAAGGGAGGGACTGTCCCCCTTTGAATGTATTCATGGAAGGCCTTTCTTATGCACGGACATTGTTATAGACCCTGAAGCCTTGGAATTAACTAATTATGTAACTCAGCTCTCAGCTTTTCAACTGGCATAAACAGAACACCAGGAGATGACTCCTGACCCAGCCTCTGAGTCAAGCAAGCCTCTATTTGAGCCAGGAACCAAGGTCCTCATAAAAACATTGGGGTCTGGGGGCCCATCCCTTGAGTCCCTCTGGGAAGGCCCTTACCAGGTTATTCTTTCTTCTCCCATAGCTCTCAGAGTGCCAGGAATTGATTCATGGGTACATCACACTCGAGTTAAGAGGTGACACCCTGACCAGAACTAAGTGACTTCGTTTTATGTCTTTACTTTCTATGCTCTGACTTTGTACTTTTCAGATGGGCCTGATAACCTATGTGAGCCTACTTATGCTGACTCCAAAAATCCTGAGTCTGCCGTCTGATCCTCAAGACAACGCCTTCCTGTCCTGGGCTCACTCCTATGCAGCATTTCACAATCAGTCTAACTGCTGGATTTGTGGCGCGCTCCCCTCTTCATCAGTGGAAGGCTTCCCATGGTAGACATCTCCACTTCAAGGAAAAGACTTTCTCCAAGTCTGCGAATACCTTCGACAACAATCATATGTGATGCCTCGTCTTAAACTGATGACATCTAACAACCCTATAATGGACTGGTGCAACACGTTGTTCTTTAACTATGGACATAATGTGACGTTTAATTTTGATTATACATTGTCTCGGTTCAATGACTATTTTGCTACACACAAGGCAAATAGGTCTAAATCTCATGGTTTTTTACCTGACGTTTATCAAATATGGGATGAGGTTATATGGTTAACTCCTGAAAAAGGTGTCTAATATCTACTGCCCCTATTTGCTGGGAACAAATAGAGCCATCCCCAGAATTTAGTCAACAACTTAAATTATAGTGATTGGAAACCCTTGGGATTTTTGCCTCAGGAAATATGCAATGTAATCATTCCCGTGTTTTCCAACCCCAATTCAGGTCCTCCCTTTGTCTGGCCAGGCACTGATTGGGACTGGANATATTATGTAGATTAAATCAATTAATACAGGTACAATTCTTAAAACAGTGCCTGGTATTACTGCTCAGCAAGTATTAGCTATTGTGGTAGATATAGTTAACTAGTATTCAGCATCCATTCCAGCCTGCTCCAAATATCACATTCTATACTGTAGCATCTGAAAGCTTGAAAACCACATTTCCCAGATGTACTTGGGACAGGATTCTGGGTAAAAATTAGGTCCCATCTAATCTAGTTGCTACTGCAGCCTGTCCCAGTCATAGAGATACTGGGTTTTTCTTCAAGACAAAGCCCAGTGGTGAAGAGCAAAGAAGAAATTCCAGTGGTAGCAGGGGTAGCTTCCAAACCAAGATACCTGATTCCTGGATAAAATCTTTGATATTGTGTTCTTGAATTCAGTCACTCCTGTTGTGGCCTCCTAAATCTCCATCTTCATGATGTGCAAGGTTGACACTGGGAGTGCAGTTTCAGCAATCCTTGATGACCCAGATGAAAGCCTGATTCTCCAGCTTTACCAATTATGGTATATTGTAAGTAACAAACTCATTGCATTAAGCATCTATTGAGAATAGAATGGCTTCTGTTTCCTAAACTTAATTATTGGTAAAAATCCTACTATTTTTCTAACTTATTAATACCTGATTATCCTTATTCATTTCATTTACCTATTAATATACAGTTTTCTATTGGTACTTTTCTTGGTTCTTAAATATTTCATTCTTTTCCATTCTTCTTTCCTTTTTTCTTTCTCTGCTTCCTCTCTTTCTCTCTTCTCTCCTTCCTTTTCCTTCTTGTCTTTCTGCCTTCCGTTATTACTTTTCTTAAGAGTATATGCATCAAACATTATACATCTTTCTCCAAGAAGAGCTTTGAGTTCAATCCATATATTAACATGGGTAGTATTGTTAATATCTAACTAGTATATAATTGCTAGTTTCACTTCCTCTTTTAACCCATGATTCTTTAGCAAAATATTATTTATAAGGATTTAATAGTCCCTGATGCTGAGAGGGATTGGGGGCAGGAGGAGAAGGGGACGACAGAGGATGAGATGGCTGGATGGCATCACTGACTCGATGGACATGAGTTTGAGTAAACTCCAGGAGTTGGTGATGGACAGGGAGGCCTGGCATGCTGCGATTCATGGGGTCACAAACAGTCGGACACGGCTGAGCAACTGAACTGAACTGAACTGATTATAATATATATTAATATCAATATATTGTATAAAATAATATATACTCTATAACTACATAATCTTTTATTATGTTATTATGCTATATATTATATCATTTGATATGTAATATTTTATATATTATTTATTATATATTTTAGCAGATATTAAAACATTGCAGTTTTAATTTATTTTATTTTATTTTTTTATTTTATTTTTTTTCCATTTATTTTTATTCATTGGAGGCTAATTACTTTATGATACTATAGTGCCTTAAAACTTAAAACCAAGAAACAAACAATTTATTTTCTTTAACAACATTAAATTTTATACCCCATAAGACATACATATTTTATGGCAAAATTTTTCTTTATGTGGTAAAAGATATCTACTTATGAAACTGAAATATATTTAGTGTTTTTCATAAAAGGCAAAGGTAAGTAAACGTAGACTTGTTCAGAACTCAATGTTTCAGTATTTTATCTAAAATTGATTTAAATCTTCAATGAATTCTCATCCTTGAGCTTAATTTAACAAAACTCTAATGGTTTAAATTCCCAAGAATCCAGGAAAACAAAATATAATTCTTTTAAAGAGCTTACCTAAAGGCTTTATACCATTGATCTCAATTATTTATGACAATATATCAGTGTGAATGAACTTTCATGCTGACACATTTTGCAACAGGTGTGACCTACTTACTAGCAGTAGAACTAGGTACAATGAAAGTTGGTGCTGAGGCTAAATACTGGTGTCTCATGCCTCTAGTAATCAGACATAATTAAAGAAGCTAAACTGATGTCAGTACCAGACAGAGATTTAATATTGAACATTTCTCAGATTTTGTGACTCTTAGAAATTTGTAAGTGCTTATTTTTCTTTAAGTCAATGGAATAGAGCTCATTTAGAAATTAATCTCAGGAATATTTTCTAAAGATAAAGACACTCACTGAGACATACACACGAGCAGAGGTCTGTTTCATCATTTTATATTTCGTGAATCAGGCACTGCATTTAAACTTGTCAGTCTATGAAAAACAATGAGAATAGTCAAATGTACACACTTGAGGTCAAAGGCTTCTTTTTCTTCCCTCCTTCCACCCCTGCCCCCGACTTGGTTTCAATTCTTCTAAGTAAGCCAAGGCTGAAACGCAGGCCACGTGGGCTGTGTTTGTATTAATACTTCAGGGACATGGTGAGGCTTAACATCAACTTTTCTCCTGGGAGTATCTATGTTCTCTCAGGGTGAGTGTTCTAGAAAACTAAAGTGTGTTATCAAGCCATCTCTCTCCAACTGCACATGCAAAAGGAACCAGTTCTGAAATTTCAAAAGAGTTTCATCTCAACCATTTTCTCCGAAGTCTAAAGAATATTGTGACTCCATAGTGTTAAACTCTTTTGTCCTTGTTGATAGGTTTAAACCTGTAGGTTGACTGCTGCTGCTAAGTCACTTCAGTCGTGTCCGACTCTGTGACCCCACAGACGGCAGCCCACCAGGCTCTGCTGTCCCTGGGATTCTCCAGGCAAGAACACTGGAGTGGGGTGCCATTTCCTTCTCCAATGCATGAAAGTGATAAGTTCAAGTGAAGTCGCTCAGTCATTTCCAACTCTTGGCAACCCGATGGACTGTAGCCTACCAGGCTCCTCTCTCCATGGGATTTTCCAGGCAACAGTACTGGAGTGGGGTGCCATTGCCTTCTCTGTAGGTTGACTAGTCTTCCAAAAAGTGTCCTAGGAGGATATCAGAGGGAATCAAAGGAGCATTTCCCATTTTTTAACAGACACCCATGAGCCAAATACAAACCAGACCTCATTAGCTGATGGAAATCTGATACCAGGGGAGAGACACCAGAAAGCATAAAGCTCAGAGTGGCTGCTTCCAGTTCCTGTCACGTCCATGACCTTAGTCCTTAGACCTCACACATGGGATTTCCAACATGAAAACTAACCAGACAGGCACTCAGCGTTCCCCAGATGGAAACAAATGTTCCTCAGATGGACATGTTGAAGGAGCCTCGGATACATAGTGGGGAACTCACCCAGATGCTGACCAAGATATCTCGGTGTCCCAGACATTGTCTGTCTCCTTCCTCAAAATAATTCCTTGGAGCACCACATTCAAGCTGGCATGGGCTGGAGGAAGAGAGGAACATCCTTGAGGCGAAGGTGGCCTCCCCACCCTCTAGGGCGGCCCTTCCTCTTCCCCCCTCTACCGCCTAGGTGTCCCCGAGTACGACTGGGGCTCAGCCTCCTTGACACGGGTCTTCTGGGATCAGGCCTCTGAAGGAATCTTCCCACAGTTCCAAACTTCCAAACTTCTGGAAAGAGGCTGCATGGAGGAAAACTCTAGAGAGTGTGATGGAGCCAGGGGACACCCGTGGGGTCACCCCTAAGCCAACCCTACACAGGACTCCAAATTTGTTACCAAAATTCAGCCTCTGCACACCAAGGCAGAGTGACGTCTGTAAGAAAGAATTTGGGGTGAGGTAGAAAGAAAGAGCTTTACTCCCTTGCTAGGAAAATTAGGCCACATTGGCCTAGTGCCCCCAAGACCGTGAGTCCCAGCCTAGAGCAGGTATGTGGAGTCTTTAGTGTTTATGGAGCCCTGGCTGGTGTTGAGGTAGTGGGGAGGCCGCAGCATCAACCTTCTTGTTGCAACCAGTCTGGGGTATACCTGCTGTGGGCAGCAGTTAACTTCTTCAGCCTGGTGGGGGTATCGGTAACTGCAAAACAGCTCACACATAAGGCAAAGAATATTATCCAGAGAACTGGAGGAAGAAAAGTCCTTGACTTTGTTTGATGGCGCAAGTATTATTATTTTGTCTTGTTTGATATTTTCCCCTTCAGGATGTTCTTACTACTCTGATGAAATTTATCCTTTTTTTTTTCCCCCACAACCTCGCCAGAAGGCATGAGGGATCTTTGTTCCCATACCTGGATCCTGCCTTCACCCCATGAATTTGACTGGTGGAGTCTTAGCCAACAGACCGCCAGGGAAGCCCCTAGATGGATTATTTGGTGAACGAGTTTCTACAGACAAAAGGCTGGTAGAGGGCTTGACTGGGGGTTTATTCTGGGAAAGCCTCAGTGGGTCCTTCTTGGTTACAATCTGGCCCTTCCCCTGGTCTGCCCCTGACTGGAATCTCAGCCCTCCAGGAGAAGGAAGTCAGCCCAGAAACAGGCAGGAGACCACAGGAGAGTTCAGATGCCCTTCATTTCTTTAGGGTGAAGTCTATATGTTGTCAGGGTGGCTCAGCGGTAAAGAATATGCCTGCCATGCAGGACATGCTGGGGACTTGAGCCTGGTCTCTGGATCGGTAAGATCCCCTGGAGTAGGAAATGGCATGCCACTCCAGGATTTTTCCCTGGGAAATCCCATGGACATAGGACCCTGGGGGGCGCCACAGTCCAAAGGGTCACAAAGAACGACTGAACGGGCACACAGGCAGGAAGGTAACATTTGTGCGTTGCCGGTTACAGCAAATATTTGGTTTCTGTATTTTTCCTGGTTCTTGCAGTGGAGGAACCAATACAGGAAGGCAAGCTGGGTAATCTTTGTCTCCTGAACACTGTTATCATCATGTTAGAGATGTCTCTCCAGGTTCAAATAAGTCTTGTTGGTCAGGCAGGCAGAGCTGGGATGTATCAATCATAAGCAAACTGAAATCTTGGTCATAAACATCCCACACTGATAAGTCCTCTAACACAATAATGCATTTCCTTAAGAGTTCACAAGAGCTTCGCCTTCCCTCTGCTCTGACCCTGTTCATTCCCTTGAAGACTGGCGTCTGGGTCCTGTGCACCCCCAACTTCTCTCAAGAC